TCCTATGTAGGAATATTATACATCATGCTTTACAGCGGGCATCAGTAGATGTTTCCTATGTAGGAGTATTATAGAGTCATGCTTTACAGCGGGCATCAGTAAACGTTTTCCTATACAGGAACAGACTGTAAGTATTTTAGACTTGTGGGTCTAACACTCATTGTTACAACTACAACTTTGTTGTGGTGGTCTGAAAACCATAGGCAATTTGTAAATGAATGACATGAACGTGCTCCAATAAAACTTTATGGAGACTGAAACTTAATTTTCCTAGACTGTTCACATCGTAGGAAGCATTCTTCTTCTTTTGACCCCTCTCCCCCAACCATTTAAAGAAGTATGAACCATTTTCAGCTCATTGAAAATAATAGATGGTGGGCTGAATTTTGGCTGGCTAACCATAGACGAGTTGCTCCTTGGAAATGCTATCTGGGGTCACTATTGATCGGAAACGACGTGATGGTACTTTACAACAACCATAGTCCTAGTGTGGCTCTATAGGATAAGCACTGGACTGCAAGGTTGGTTTGAACCTCAGGGTCCATTTGAACCACAAGGTCGGAAGTTGAAACTCACCAGCCGCTCCTTAGAAACCCTATAAAGGATCACTTTGAGTTGGAACCAGCTTGACAGCACTTAACAACAGCTGCCAAGAGGGAAAACAAAGTTTGTATCTCCTGTGTTAATATTTTCACATTTCTTCTTCTGCTGCTTCTGTATGTTGATGACTGTGTTTTAAAAATTGGTTTACAATATACATATGATTTTATAACCTGCTATATATTTCCCCACTCATTATATAATCTTCTAAATCAAGAATGGCAAAGTATTGTTGTTGCTCTTGTTGTTAAGTGCCATTGAGTAAGTTCCATCTCATAGTGACCCTGTAGAGAGTCTCCAAGGAGCAGCTGGTGAGTTTGAACCACCGACCTTGTGGTTCAAATTGACCTTGTGGTTCAGTACTTTATCCCACAGTGCCACACCAGGACTATTATGGATAAATTTAAACTTCTACATTCTGCCCATTTGTATTTTCTGAATTTTACAATAATGATGTTTCGTACATTGTGTTACAAATAAGTATTCTTATAATCAGGAGTCCTTGTGTGGTGCTGTGGGTTAATGTGCTGGACTGCAAAATCAGTTTGAACCACAAGGTCAGTGGTTCTAGCTCACCAGCTGCTCCTCGGAAACCCTATATGGGATCACTAAGGATTGGAACATACTCGACAGCACTTAAGAACAAAAATATAATGAGGAAAAAGAGATTGAAAAAGGGTTAGAGAATCTATACATTGTAAGCAAAATCAGGACATTTATTGTTAATTAGCTTAATATAACATAATTTGTTTTGTTACCATTTTAGCCAACGAGTCCCAAATTTGGAAAGGCTGACTCATATGAAAAACTGGAAAAACTCGGGGAAGGATCTTATGCCACAGTCTACAAAGGAAAAAGCAAGTAAGTTAATGGTTTTGAAATATTGCACATATAAAATTAATTTGCTTTCTTAATACTAAGTAACAATATTTTTCAATTAATATATAGCAGGGTTTTCACTTGGTTTCTTTTTTTTTTTTTTGTATTTGTAAACAAGGACACGTATGGATGGGTTTAGTGGAGTTGGTCTTCTTGGCTATCAGTTTTGTTTTGTTTTTTTAATTTTGAATTGTGATTTGGGTGAAAATTTATAGTGCAGATTGGTTTTCGTTTTAAAAAATTGTGCAGATTATGTTTTGTGACATTGATTGTAATCTACACAGTGTGCAGTGTTCTCCACACTTCCTTCCTGTGTTTACTGTTTCCATTTGTTTTTTCCTATCCCTTCCTGACTTCTAAGCTTTATCCCTGAACAAATACTATACTGCTGATCTTATATATTTAAATAATTTTCATGTAATATTTAGCATCGATTGTTTTTACCCCTGGGAGTCTTGGAAAACAATTTGAACAAGCGTAAGTATCAGTGAAGCTGGGTTTCTGTGCTATCAGTTTCACATGCTTGTTTCATATATGTTTTCTGTTCAGCAACCCTTCTGCCCTGTCTTCCTTTTCTCTCATTCAGGTTGATAGTCTCTGATGATAATTCATTTCCAGGTAAATGTGATGTGGTTAATTTCTCATGGAGGTTGGTGTTTACGTAAGAATATTATTATTTGGTGCCATTGAAGTGGTTCCGGCTCATAGTGACCCTCTATAGGGTTTCTGAGGAACATCTGATGAGTTTGAACCATCAACCTCGCGGTTCAAACTGACCTTGCTGTCTAGTGCTTATCCTGAATCTCCTCCCCCGGACTCCCTTCTTAAGAATAGGAGTATTGATTTGAAAAAGCCAAATGTATTAGCTATTCTTGATGTCTTTTTTTTTTAAGTTTTTACTGTGAATCAAATGATAGTTTACATGGGAGAACATCAGTTTTACACTCATCCTATCGTATTTAATTTCATTGCAATGATTACAGTCTCCTTCGTGCATCATCATTAAACAGAATTTGCTTCTATTCCCTCTGGTTTGTTTTGTTTTGTTTATGTACACAAAAACACTCAGGAATATATAATCATTTAAACAACCAAAGGGCACATTCTGCAAGCCTGTCTCCTGGCTGCCAGCACACAGCTTTTCTCTTTCCATGAGTTTAGAGTCCTCAGCTGCTCCCTCTCTCCATGTCATCATCTTGGCCTCCATCTCTAGTGTCGCTGCTTCTCTGGATAGGGCCCCACATTCTGCTCGTGCTCTTTTCCCTTGATGGTTCTAGGGTCCTCTGCTCCTGGAATGTAAGATTAACTACTCTTCCCTTTATGTTACAGAATTTCTACCTTTACAGTTGTCTTGATGTCTTTTAAAATTGCAGTATTACCCTATCTTTCAGAAGTCACTTAGTTCCAAGAAGTGCACACTCCTTTTTTCTTTGTTTCTGTCTGATTTGACATGGTACTGCTTATATTTCCGGAGAAAAAACAACTTTTATCACTTGGTCCTCTTTCCCCTTATAATATCCTGGTTTTGAAAAAAGTTTGCCCCCATTTGCCATTGATAGGCATGCTCTCTCCCCATTTATTTATTGTTGTTGTTATGTGCTGTTGAGTGTGTTCCAACTTAATAGAAACCCAGTTCACAACAGTATGAAACACTGCCCAGTCCTGTACCATGTTCACAATTGCTGTTCTGTGTGAGTCCACTGCTGCTTCTACTGTGTCAGTCCATCTCATTGGGAATCTTCCTGTTTTTCGCTAACTCTCCACTTTACCGAGCATGATGTCCTTCTTCAGGGACTGGTTGTTCTTGATAATGTGTCTGGAGTATTAGAGACTAAGTATGGCCATCCTATCTTCCAAGGAGTATTCTGGCTGTACTTCTCCCAAAACAAATTTGTTTGTTCTTCTGGAAGTCCTTCTTGTCAGACACTGTAATGCAAATACATCAATTCTTTTGTCTTCTGTTTTCATTGTCCATCTGTCACATACATATGTGTCTATTGAAAATCTATTGGCTTGTGTCAGATACTCTGTGGTTCTCAAATGCGTTGTGCAGCAGCTTTACCTGCTGCAATAATATGTCACTTGATGTCTTGATTGTGGCTTCCCTGAATGTTATTATATATTTTTTTTATCCAAAAAAAAATGGTCTCCAAATTCAGGTGGGATATATTCAAGGCCATATTTTGATTCTCATCAACTTACTTTTAAATTTGTTTGGTTTCAGCCTGTACTCGTATGTGACAAGATGGTCTGTCTCACTGTCTGCCCCTCACCTTATTTTGGCTGTTGGTATTGAGCTTTCCCACCATCTTTTCCCTCACAAGTAGTTAATTTGATTTCATCAGGTGAGGTCCATATGTATTGTTAAGTGCCATTGAGTCCATTCTGACTCATAGCAACCCTGTTAAATTTTGTGGGAGCAGAAAGTCTCATCTTTCTCCCACAGAGTAGCTGGCAGACTCGAACCACAGAATTTGTGGTTCAAAGTCCACTGCTTATTGAATGGAGGCACTGTGCTCCTGCTCTATTTATAGTCACTCTTTATGTTGTCAAAAAGAGGTATTTGCAAAGAATAAGCCATTGGTCTTACAAATTCTATTATGTGATCCTCTAGCATAATTTCTGTCACCAAGACTATATTTCCAACTACTGATTCTTCTTGTTTGCTTCCAGCCTATGAATTCCAATCACCTGTAATAAATCAATGTATCTTGATTGCATGTTTATCAATTTCAGACTAAGGAAGTTTGTAGAATTCTTCAATTTTATCATTCTTGGCTTTAGTGGTTGATGTATAAATTTGTCTTCCTTTTGTTGTTGTTAAGTGCCATTGAGTCGGTTCCGACCCATAGCGACCCTGTACAGGGCTTCCGAGGGTGTAAATCTTTACGGGAGTAGAAAGCCTGATCTGTCTCCCACGGAGCAGCTGGTAGTTTCGAACCACTGACCTTAAGGTTCGCAGCCCGATTCGTAACCACTACGTTACCAGAGCTCCTTTGTCTTCCTTTTAGGTGTATGGATTAGGTGTATGGATATTATCCTATCATGTAGCATTGTACTTGAAGACAGATATGGAACCTTTTTTTGACAATGGCTGTGATGCCATTCTTCTTGGATTTGTCATTCCTAGCATAGTAAACCATGTTTGTCATATTCAAAATGACCAATACCAGTCCATATCAGCCTAGTGTCAGAGTGTGGTGGCTCAATACAATAAGCACTGGGCTGTGACCCACAAGGACTGCGGTTTGAGCCTACAAGCTGCTCTGTGGAAGAAAAATGAAGCTTTCTGCTCTTGCAAACATTTAAAGCCTTGGAAACCTTATACAGGATCCCTATGAGTTGGAACTGATTTGATAGCACATAACAACAACAACAGTGCTTAGTATATCAGTCTTTACGTCCTATTTTTTTTTTGAGGACTTCCAGTATTCCTAGATTAATGCTTTGTACATTCCATGTTCTGATTATTAATGGATGTTTGCAGCTGTTTCTCCTCATTTTGAGTTGTGCCCATCAGCAAATGAAGGTTCCGTAAACTTGATTCTGTTTGTTGCCATGATCAATTCTACTTTGAGGAGGCAGTTCTTCCCCTCTTTGTATGGCCCACAAATGATGCTATAAATTTTGACAGAAAAAATGTTCCCCACCCCTGATCTTAAGGGTTGAGCTAATTTCAACAATCGACTTGTTTCCTAACTTGTCATGTTTTTTTTTCTAAAGAAAAACAGTAGTACTCTGATGTATAAGAAATACTTTGATACTCATGATGATAACTACCATGATTTGCTCAAGTTTACACAAGAAAAGCTGAGTTTCATCTGTCTTAAAATCTTTTTTTATTTTTTTTTTCCTTTCAGTTATACCACACTGCTTCCATAGTATAAAGATAAAGCCTTGTAAACACCATTTGTTCCTACTCAAATATCCCAGATGGTTCTCATATAGTGTACCTTTTAAAATTATTATTATTTATTGTCAATCAAATAGAAGCAAAAGTACTATTTCTTTACAGAGAAATAAATCCAACACTTGGGAAGTGCCTTCTCCTAAAAGATGTGCTCAGCTGATCTTCAAATGTAAGAATATAACTGTATTAAATGTTAACTTTAAGATTTATATCAAAGCCATGGAGATAGTTGAAAGATTCACCACTTATTTTGCCTGAATAAAAGAAAGATGGCCTTTAAAAGTACCTGCAATCTTTTGAAAATGATGGCTTTGGACAGTTGATAGTTTTCACTCCAGCAGGTTTAAATGTATCTTGTCAGCATTTCTAGAACAGCTTCAAACTGGCTGGTCACTTGTAGTATTAAATTTCCTTTAACTGCAAGTGAAAGCTATTGCCACTTACCTGCTATAAGAGATGACTAGCTACCCTTGTCTTTTTGCTTTAAGGTGGCAAGGTCAGGCAGAACAACATCAGTTACATGCCATCTAACAGGACTTGAGAGTTGGTTTGCTATTTCTCTTGGAGCCTTGCATAATTTGAAGAGTCAGATAACATTGGGATACACATTCCAGAACTCAGCAGCACTCTCCTATGAATGTCTGAACCTCTGTCCCCATATTTAAACATCATTTTTAGTATCCTTCCCAAGATCATCTATAATTATCTTGTAGTACACCTGCCTGGCATTTGTGTTGATCACACTATGTTTCACTTTGTCAGCAATTTACATATATGCATATTATATATATGTATATATATTGATTTACAGGTGTTCAGTTTGCATTTTTTCAGAAATCTCATTAATTCCAAGTTTCACTAATTTGCATTCATGACAGCATTATTTTTCTAACTGTGACTTATATAAGCCATCCTTTATCTCACGGTTCATTTTAATAAAATATAAACAAGAAATTTTTGCTCCACCAAGAGTCTTGTGTAATTCTTAATTTTGCTATAGTTGCTATTAGGCAAATTTTAGAAATTTGAGGAGGAATAGTTTCATTACCTTTAGATTTTCTTATATTTAGCT